CTCCAAGATCTGCACATAAATACCTCAGTCTACGCAACGACTTCTTCTGTAACTGAAGGTAATACATAATCATATCATGCTATATCCTATATATCTGCAACCTTTTGTGGAACCACCGTGTTAATATAATTTCTAGTTTATTTAACTACTGAACAAACAACGGGCTGCAATGAAAGAAAGTATCAGTCTGAACTTGAGAATATTTCTCAAGTAGATTGTAAAATGAACAACGAAATATCTGTCTTGATTCCAATCTCAAAGAACCATGAACCAATGAAGAGGGTTATGAAGAATGAACTGTCCATCTTTTATTCCCTCCTGAAAAAACCATGAACAAAACAGCTGTTCATCTTGAAAGGAATTAACGACACAAGAAATACGTTTTAACAGAAAAACCAGAATAAGTATATTGTCATTAATGTTCAAGGATAAGCATGTGATTAGTTTATCGACACCATTTAAGGTACAGTGTATTAGGCTGAAGTAACATAAAAGCACTGTGCTGATTCAACCTGTTCAGTCTGAAATTCACGAAGCTCGCTGAAACACTTCAGATTCTGATGGAAATTGTGGAATCATTAATATAACTTTACCTTATCTCTTGATGGGGGGAAACACCATACAATACGAACGGATTAATCTGGCAAAAAAACCTGTACAGATTCTTCTGGAGTGTCGTCCAAAACTGGAAAGCTGGAAATGAAATATTTCTGTGTCAGAAAGCAAGAAAAACAAAACTAAATAAGCGAAAACATCATTACGGTATAACAAGTATAGTTGAATATATATCGTTATCATCATATTCGTGACAGTAAACGAGGAACAAACGTGACTCGAAGTAGCCATGAACACGAGAGAAAAAAATTTAGTTGGGAAAATACATTAGTTGAACTTGGAGAGAGTTGAACACAAATGCTAAATTAAAAAAAATCATTCTTTAAGGATACTTGCTCAAAATTTGTGGAGCTAAAAGTAGAAAACATGTAATGTTATAATTGAATGACTCTGGATCCAGAGTCACTATTGTTCGACCAGATATTATATCCGTAGATGAAGATAAAGATTGGACTAGGTAGTGCTCCAAGTGATGATAAATTTCTAACTAAGAGAAAACTGGAGTATACCATTGCCAATGGAAGTTTCTTAGGGTAATAGGCACACACACAAAAAGCATCTTGCGGATAGAATTCATACAAAAACATACTCTGTATTGATATTATCCAGTATAAAGACAATTTTGGTTTGTAATTAAGCACAAAGCTACATAAAGGGCTATCTGTGCTCTGCCCACCATGGGTATCGAAACTCGGTTGCTAGCGTTGAAAATCCGTAGACATATCGCCGTGCCACTGGGGGCGTATCAAGACAAGTGATGAAGAAATTACAGCGCGCTGTATAACAATGGCCACATCTAGGAATGAACTGTTTTTGACATTCTAATACGTGGATGTTATTGCGTTCGTGATTAGGAAGTTATATGTATATATATATATATAAAGGCCCAAAATTGGATCCAGAAAGAGTTTCGATTAAAAGGATCTGGTATATCTGAAAGGCAGTAACATACTTATATCAGAGGCAAATCAATCAAGATTGGAAATGAGCTGGCAATGTGTAAAGTAGTGTCTAGTTTTACTGAGATCGTGATAGAAGAGAAAATTTTGTTGTCAGTGGCCTTAAGTTTATTTTTTTAAACAAATAATATCTGTTTTTCACTTAAAAGAACTGGGAATAATATAAAAAAATGTACAAAAACAACGCTTTAGTGAAACTAATAACATAGTTGAACAAATAATGTATGCTAACATTGACAGTAAAGGTTCAGACCAATCCGTCAATGCTTTAAATGTTTACGTATTATTATTATACAAGAAGTTTTTATTTTGTATTAGAATAAATATTAAAATTGTCCTACTGGCACACAAGTTCTTTTATTTTATATTTGAGTGAATACTGATTAATATTGTACTACTTGTATAGAAGTTTTTATTTAGAACTTAAATAAATACTGGTTAATATTGCCCTAGTGGCATACAAGGAAGTTTCTATTCAAATAAATATAGAATAATATTGCTATGTCCTTTTTTACATCTTATTGTTGTCTCATCTTCACTCGTTCTAATTATATGTTCAGGTGACCTGAAACTTTCATATGAAAAACTAAAGTAGATTCGTTAGAAAGTTGTCATCCTTGTGTTTAAATACACGTGTCCTTGTGTGAGAGAAGAAGCTGAATGACTGATCAGGGGTCACGAGATTATTTCAACCTAGATGCTGCACGTGACAAATGAAACGACTAGTTACTGGTAGCAGTCAAAAAAACACGTTTTCGTGACTTGCTGGAATCGCCATTTTCTATGGTCGTTCGTTCCACCGTCAACTCACCCAGAACACAGTTTTATCTTGACAAATTGGTGTAATTTGAGAACAAACCGCAGCACGGCAGGATCACCAAACAAGACCTAGAAGAATGAACATAGAATTTTGAATACAAATTGAAACTTTTGATTTTACAAAAGCCGCTAACTGTAGTGATCAAAAACAGGTGATTCCATTTATCACAAACACTTTTCTTCAAGTAACTTTCAGTCCTATAGAATGTTGATGTTAAACCAGTCACTGCTAGTAAGAAAGCTTGAAAAATAACGCCACCTTTAGGTTAGGAATAGAGAAAGAATTTGCGCTTCTTTACCTATTTGGGATAATCACGAGTACAATTAACCACTCCTACTACATCTCAGTCTTCATTGTATTAAAAGGAAGACAGAAAGGAATTCAGTAAATGGATAAAACGTGCATAGTAGAATAGTTGTGGTGTTTAGAGGATTTTGTCTACACAAGGGGATTTGAGATGTGGTTTAATTAATTTAAAACACAGGGGTGAAGCTAGTACTTTACTTTGGGGTCTTCAACTATGATTTATGGATAGTCTAGCGGTTAAAATACAGTTTATGTAAGTTTGTTTGTTTAGAGCGAACCCACATCGGCTATCTGCTGTGTTCACCGAGGGGTGTTCGAACCCCGGATTGTAGCGTTGTAAGTCCGTAGGTTTACCGCTGTCCCATTAACGGCTGAAGTTAACAATAAAGTCTGCTGGTTTAAAATAATATAATTATTCAAAAGATTAGTCTTTTGGGACTAACCCGATGTTCTTATTGTTGAAAACAATCTTAAAAAATTGGATCTTGATGAATTTCTTTTTCCTGGTCGAAAAATCTGATTAGTGGATAAGACATTAATTTTAATCGACTGTATGAAACTGAAGTTTAAAACCATAGGTTGGAAAAATGATGCTCATCAGAATATCATACCGTTCGCAAAATAAGGTTTGTTTGTTTGTAGTTAAGCACAAAGCTACATAATGGGCTGTTTGTGCTCTGCTCACCAGGGAAATCGAAACCTGGTTTCTAGCGTTGTTAGCTCGCAGACATACCGCTGTGCCACTGGGGGGGGGGGCGCCAAATAAAGGGGGCATACTTTGACCATTTTATAAGAGAAGACAAAAGCTGCCATTGTGACATATGGGGTGTTTCGATGTCATGAATATTAATGTTAATTATTAGCTATTTACTTACAACACGGTATTTTCTAAATTTTGGTGAAAATTACCCCGATTTGAGTGAGAGAATGAGCAGAATTTATAAAAGTAATGCTCTGTACATATGCAATGAAATAAAATAAACATTTTATTTACATTCAACTTTCACACGTACTTGATTAACAAGACTTTACTTCCTGTTATCGGCACTTCTATATTTCGAACCTTACATTCTCTGAACCAGGTACACCCACCCACACGACGGAGCGTACATTCAATGAACCACGTATACCCACCCACATGAGAGAGCTTACATTTTATGAACCAAGTATACCCATCTACACGAGGGAGCTTACATTCTATGAACCATGTATACCCACCCACATGATGGAGCTTACATTATATGAACCAGGTGTGCCCACTCACACGATGGAGCTTACATTCTATGAACCATGTATACCCACCCACATGATGGAGCTTACATTATATGAACCAGGTGTGCCCACTCACACGATGGAGCTTACATTCTA